ATTTAGAGAGAGAGAGAGAAGGGCCAGGCATGGTAGCTCACACCTATAATCCTAGCATTTTTGGAGGCTAAGGTAGGAGGATCACTAGAGACCAGGAGTTGGAAACCAGCCCAGACAATAGCGAAACTCTGTCTTTACAAACAATAAAAAAAAAAATCAATCAGGTGTGATGACAGTGAGTGCCTATAGTTTTAGCTACTAGGGAGGCTGAGGCTGGAGAATCACTTAAGCACAGGAGTTGGGGGTTGCGGTGAGCTAGGATCATGGCACTGCACTCCAGTCTGGATGGCAGAGTGAGACCCTGTCACAAAAAAAGGGGAGAGGAGAGACAGGGGAGGTGACGGGAGGGGAGGGGAGAGAAGAGGAGAGAGGAGAGAATAGGACAACAAATGTAAAAAATATTATCAATGGGTGGATCTTACAACTTTTCTAAACAAGTAAACTTGTTTCTCTTTTATTATACTTCTAGAAATATTAACTATGGTACCTGGGGTACGCCTCAAAGTAATACTGACTTTGGTAGTAGTAGGTCAGAAGTTGAAACTGTGGAAGCTGGAAGATGGGTATGTAGGGCTTCATTATATTATTCTGTCTTTTTTTTTTAAATAGTCTCACTTTGTCACCCCAGCTAGAGTGCAGAGGCAATCATCCTAGCTCACTGTGACTTCAAACTCCTGGGCTTAAGTGATCCTTCTGCCTCAGGCTACCATGTAGCCAGAACTTCAGGTGTCCATCACCATGCCCAGCTAGTTTTTCTACACTTTTTTTTTTGGAGAAACTGAGTCTTATTCTTGTGAACTTCTGAGCTCAAGCCTTACCTTGGCCTTCCAGAGTGTTAGACTTATAGGCATGAGCCACCACACCTGGCCTATTCTGTTTAATTATAAATATGTTTAGAAATTTCCACATTAAAACTTTTTTAAATTCTCACACAAAAAAATAACATCGCCTGTCACAGATAATTCCAGGAAGCTATCCTCTTTCATTAGAAAGTTGGTTTGGAGCTGGTTCAGTAATCCCTGGTTTTCAGCATATCTCTTTTGGGTTTTATATGCCAAAAAAAAAAAAAAAAAAGCACAAGACCCAAACTATCACCTAGTCACTCTTCTCTTTCCATTCTATAGATGCAACAACATATATCCCTGGGCCCCTTCTCTGCTGAACTTTTTTTTTTCTTTTGAGACAGAGTGTCACTATGTTGCCCTGGGTAGAGTGCCATGGCATCACAGCTCACAGCAACCTCAAACTCTTGGGCTTAATCAATTCTCTTGCCTCAGCCTCCCAAGTAGCTGGGACTACAGGCACCTGCCAGAATACCCAGCTATTCTTTTGTTGTAGTTGTCATTGTTGTTTTAGCCGGCCCAGGCTGGGTTCAAACCCGCCAGCCTCCACGTACGTGGCTGGTGCCCTACCCACTGAGTACAGGCGCAGCCCTCTGTTAAACTTTTTATAAGGCAGCAAACAACAAAGGACAGAATATGGCATTTTTACTTTTAGGAGAAATTGTCATATGCCATCTCATATCAATATATACTCTCTATATAAACTATCTGTTTTATATATGTAAACATACATATTACACCTAAGTAATATACACCAGCCTACTATTCATAATCTTAGTACCCTAAAATAGGGGTGCCATTCAACTCTGACAGTCCTCAGTCCTGTAACCACATGTGTCTACTGTACCTGACAGACCAGCAGGGACATCAAGACCAGAGGTAGGAGGCCTGGCTCAGAGGGACCCTTGCAGCTGCAGCCCCACAGCCTTGGGAAGGCCAGAACAACATGGGACAGCTGAGGCTCAGGATGCTTCTCTGCCCCAGCTCACCACACTGCCATAGCCTTGCCTACTTTCAAGGCACACACACAGATGACCCAGAGAAGGATCCAGGGCAATGAGTGAGGGAAGTGGAGGGGAGTGGTCAGGAGGGCTTCCTGGGACTGCGTGGGGACAGGCAAGTTCTAGGAGGGAGGAGAGGGGCATCCTAATGCGTTTGTGTCTGCCTGCCTATAGGGACAGGCTTAGTAGAATATGGTAGCTTCTCTATCTATAGGGAATGAGCATTGGGGATACTCTCAACAGACAACCCCAAGGGCTGGGGGAGACAGAGGACACCCAGCAGTGAGAGCCTCCTGGCTTCCCACCACACCTGGCCTTGAGCAATACCTGACTATAGCAGGCATTAGTGGGTTTTAATGCCTCTCTTAAACACCTGCTAATCCCTTTTTTAAAAAGAGGCTGAGTCCTGAGATTTGGTTTGGTTTCCCTTTCAAGCTGTAGTCTATAATAAAGGCAAAAAGGAAGAGGGGAGAGATCCGACGAAAGCCCAGAAATGTCTGAAACAAAACTCCTCAATCCATCTATCAAAGCATCTCTGTTGGTTTTCTGTCTATAGGACTGAGCTTCTTAGCTACAGCAGAAAGCAGAGAACAAGGCTCCAGGTTGGAATCAGAATGTCGGGGAAAAGGTACCTGCACGGGGCGACAGGCTGCCTCATGGTCCTGCTGAGGAAACTGAGGCACAGAGGATGAAGAAACTTGCCCATGACCCAAGACCACAGGCAAGTGCTTTTTCCGCTATAGACCTGATAAACTGCGAACATTATTTTTAAAATTTTAACTCATTTCCATGTTTTTCATTTTTGTTCTTCATCAGTATTGCACAATTCTTAGTGATGTTTTGGGCACTGACAACTGAAATCTAGCGTGGGTTGGCTTGGTTGTTCCCTTACAAATAAAATCTTTCAGAAAAAAAAAAA